TACAAATAGGGAGCAGCACATAACACTTTGGGACCTGAATGATCTGTTAAGGAGGTGGTCTCTGTCCACCAGAGTGAGGGCACCACAATACAAGCTAGAGACAGATTTTTGAGAAGTGTCAAGGAACCAGAAATGCTACAATTCTGGGGAGATGCACATATGGCAAGCAGATTAGGAACAAACAAGCAGAAGAGTAATAGTAAGGCAATGATTCTATACAGAGGAAGAGACAAAGGAAATAGAGTAAATGTGAGAAAGGATTGCAGTCAGGGATCATGAGTCACAGAATCATGGATGATAGAGGTAGCAGAGTCACAGAAGTTAGTAATTCTTGATACACTGGATGACAAACTTGACACAGTTTTGTGGGCTTACAAGAAAGTTGCAAATAAGGTGCACCCTGTACCCAGAGTGCTTCTGGAGGAGTTCTGCATAGTCAGACAACAGCACCCCAATCCTCTAGCCAGAATGCCTATATTACCAACAATACTACAGCCCTTCATGCCTACCAGCCAACTTACAGAAGAGTAGATGCAAGCAATTAGAGAATTGTAATCAGGATTCCTATGGCTGGAAGAATGGAAACTTGCAGAAAACCTATTAATGCTACAGTCAGAAGTGTTTGCATGGATGGAAGAGGAGTGAGGAACATTAGACCCCACATACTTTGATCCTATTCAAATTCTGACTGTAGAGCATGTACTATGGGTAGAGAAAAGTATTCTGATTACACACAGAATTGAGAAGAGGGTGATTGAGTTGTTGAAGGAGAAGTTGTGTAACAGAGCAATAGAACTGTTGAATTCCTCCTATTGATTACAATGGTTTTGCATCATAAAGAAAGACAGAGTATCCTTACAATTTATTATCAATTTGTAGAGGTTAAACACAGTTACAATAAAGGATGCAGCTGTTCTGCCAAACATGGAACTAATTGTAGAAAGCTGTAGAGGTCATGCATACTATACACAACTTGATTTGCATATTGCATTTGATCAGAGGAGTTTGGATGAGCAGTCTAGAGATCTGACAATGTTCCAGACACCTCTAGGGACGTTTTGCTTGACAGTATTACTAATGGGTTACACCAACTCAGTACAGATTCTGTATAATGACTTAGTGTTCATTCTTTGCAACAAGATTCTAGATGTTACAAACCTATACACAGACAATGTTCTGGTAATTGGACCCTACTCAAGATATGAGACAGTAGACAGAACAGAGGAAACACTTCCTAAGAATGAGGGAATACAGAAGTTTGTATACAAGCATCTGATGGACATAAACTGGATTTTGCAGAGAGTGAAAGCTGTAGGAGGGACGTTTTCTGGAAAGAAGATAATGCTTTGCAACAAATCCACAATATTTGTTGGGTATAAGCTGACATATTTGGGGAGAGAGGCTGAAGAATCACAAATACAGAAGGTTAGGGATTGGCTGCCTTGTAAGAGTGTTACAGAAGTATGGGGATTCCTCAGAACAGTAGGAGTGCTTTGCATTTTTATTTGGAATTACACAAAGTTAGTACAACCACTCAATTGACTCACACAAAAGAACTTGATATTCAATTGGAATGACAAGGTACAGAAATCTATGGACACACTCAAGGAAGCAGTTTTACATTGCCCTACACTAACACCAATTGACTATGAGTCAGAGTATCCAGTAGTCTTGACAGTAGATTTGTCTATCATTAGAGTAGGATGGTATATCAGTCAGGAGCACTCAGATTGCAAACAGAGAATAAATCAATTCGGATCAATTAACTGGAACACAATGCAAGCACAATATTTGTAAGCAAAAATAGAGCTCTTTGGACTTTATTACACACTTCACACATTGCACATATATCTCATAGGTGTCAAGAAATTAATTGTGGAAATGGACACTTCATACATAAAGGGAATGATCAATAAGCCTGACCTACAGTCTAATGTTACAATCAATTGCTGGATAGCCAGTATTTTGCTATTTGATTTCAAGTTCTGCTACATTCCTACATCAGACTTCAAGTGTACAGACAGATTATTGTAATACCAAGTAGCACCCAAAGACCCCCCAGACAATGACACCTATGAAGACTGGATTGATGAGTCATACAGATTTTACACAGCAGAAATAGAATTTATACAACACAGACATTAGCTGGAAACTTGCAGGGCTACAGAATACAAAGCCTTGTTAGTCGAGTGTGTAGAAACACAGTCCTGGGTTTCAGATACAATGCACCAGGAGACACACAACAACATTATTAATGAATCATTTCAAGTAAACAAGGACACACTACAGGCAACACGTTCTGGCAGACTGTAATGTAGATTATTCCCAGAAGTTGTTATTCTGAAACAGAACTAGAATTGGATATGTTAAGATAAACCAGAACGACCCAATCTAGAACATGGAAGAGTAGAAGGTGTAGCAGACAAAGGAGTACATGAGCAGGAACCTGGAGGAGAGTCTCACAGAGTTGTGGGAACCAAGAAGGTAGAGAGAGCAGATGACAAAGCAGAGGGTGACAATCTAGAGCTGATAGGGGTTGTGCACAGTATCTACAGTAACAAGGCTGAGGGTTTGGACACAACAGTAGAATGATTTCTGTAATCACTAACTGCTGAAAGGTAAGAAGCAAGACTGAAGGCTGTGAAAGAGTATCTTGGCTCACTCTGCAAACCAAGCAGAATTGTAGATGCTGATTTTCCAACATTTATACAATACACAGTACAGTTCTTTGTACAGAACAACAAGATCTAGCATTGAGGTCCTGAAGGAAAGCATCAGATTGTGCCAGATAAGGACAGGAGATAGGAGTTGGTTAGGATAGCACACAAAGACTTAGGACACAAGGGAATCTTTGCAGTACAAGCCTGTTTACTGGATCAGTTCTGGTGGCCATCTTTTACAGAAGACATTAAGTACCTCATTAGGACTTGTCATGCATGTCAGACTTGGCAGATGTAACAAGTGCTGATTCCACCAAGTATTCCAGAGATTGCACTGCTTTTCCAAAAGATCCACATAGATACAAAGGTTATGCTGAAAGCAGGAAGATTCTGATATATTGTGTACACACACTGTTTGTTATCAGGGTATCCAGAGTTTCACATGCTTCATACAGAGAACAGAAGGACAATAGGACAGTTCATCTTTGAAGAACTTCTATACTGATACAGGGCATGTCCCAAGCTTGTAACAGACAACAGAACACCTTACATTGTAGTGCTGGACTATTTGTGAGAACAGTACCACATTAATCATATTCGGATTTCTGTGTATAACTCCTGCACAAACAGAATTATTGAGCAGAAACACTTGGACATACAGGAAGCAATTGTAAAGACAGTAGGAGACAATATTGGACATTAGTATAAGTACACACATTCTGTGTTCTGGGCAGAGCAGATTACAATTCAGAAAGTGACTGGATATTCTCCTTATTACCTTGTTCATAGAGTAGAGCCAATATTACTGTTTGACCTGAACAAGGCAATGTATTTGGTTCCACCCAAAGGATTGCCACTAACAACAGAGGAACTGGTAGCAATACAAGCACAACAATTGCAGAAGAGACCAGACAACCTTACACAAATGATGGAATGCATTCAGAACACCCACAAAAGATACACAAAGCATTTTGCAGAAGTCAATTGTAATCAGATCAAGGACTACAACTTTGCTCCAGGTACACTAGTGCTAATCTGTAATTCAAAAGTGAGCAACAACTTAGGACGAAAGATGAAACTATAATACCTCAGACTGTTTGTAGTAGTGTGAAGAACAAAAGGAAACACTTATGTCATAGCAGAATTGGACAGAGCAGTGGCCAAGTTATGTATTGCAGCATTTTGCCTAATTCTGTATTTTCCACATTTACATTTAACAGTTCCTATCTTACATCTCATTAAGGCTGTAGAACTAATGCTGGAAGATGCAGAACCACACAGGACTAGTCACAAGGATACAGATGATCTAGACAACTGTGCTTCAGATGCTATGCTTGAAGTAGAACCAAGCACAGAAGTCACAGACTCCTGATCCAAGAATGTGCAATTTTTCAATATACTCTCCTAGTCTTGTACTGGAAACTAAAATATAGGGATCAATTCCCTACCAGCAACACCTAACAGTTGTGTAAATCTGTAAATACTGTGTTCTACTACAGTTCCCTATGCTTTGTTACGTTTTATATTTACATACTTTCAATCTTCTGTTACATTCCTTCTCATTTACAATAAATTGTAAAAAGCCCATACAACATTCTATAAGCATATAAACCTTTATACAAATTATGATTCTTTTCCACCTATTCCCATCCTATTCCACTAGTTCTATACATAAATCATAAAAATATCCATCCATCCATTCCATTCCTCTTAACTCTCTATTTTATCTATTTTCCTATCCATTCCATCCATTTCTGTTCTATTCTGTTTATTCCTTATGTTTCCAGTTTTTTTTCATAAAAACAAAACTGGACTTTTATTTCTCTACTTTCTACCCTGTTCTATTTCCTACTCTAACTCTTCCACCCTACTATCTACAGAGGCTTCTGCTGCTATGGCTAAGAAGTTGATACCCTGCCTCAGAGTCATGATCTTTGTATCAAACTCATTCTTCATTGTCATCAGCTACAACTCTAAGTTGTTCAGCTCCTTAGTCATCTATGAGTGGAGGTTGTGGACTGTTCTGGCTTTACTATGTGTGATTGGAGGGATGACAGAACACAGGTTCCAAGTTGTACTGTACAATTCCACAGTTTGCCCCCTAGTCTTACACTGGATTCCCTTCAGACTACATCCAGAGTGGCAGAATATGCATACTGTGCACTGGTTTTCTACACAAACAATCACTATTGACACAGTCAAAAATAAGATTGAAACAGACTTACTTGGATTACTGTAGTACAGCCAATCCATTATAGTCTGGCAAGTGGATCCCTGAGGACCCTTGTGCCTCTCTACACACTTCACACACTCAGGTGTGTAGAAGACCATTCCCTCTACCTAATCTGGAGGGATATCCTTGTCCTCCTTGCTTGAAGACTCCACCACAACCTTCTGGTTTTTTGCATACATTTCCTTGCCAGAGACTGGAATCTCTACCTCTACAATAGTGTGCTTCTTACTTAGGAGCACTAGTACTGGCTCTAGACAACAAAATGGAGTCAGTATACTCAGAAAATCAACTACCCCTCATCCACATTACCTTTTTCCTTGCTTTTGTCCTCTTTCTTCTTTTCCAGCTTTGTAACTACTTAAGGAACTAGGAGAAACATTGTATTAGCTTAGCATGATTCGTTAGCCATACTTATACTTACTGACTATGACTTGTTTCTCCTTCCCATCCCTTCTTGTATCAACCTTCTCTTTCTCTACAACCAGCTTTTTCTTTTCCAGTTTTGCAACTTCTTTAGGAACTAGGCAAAGATGACATTAGTAGCACACAATTTGTTAGCCATACATTTAATTCGTACCTGGCTTGTTCCCCTTTTCTACTACCACCTTTAACCTTTCTGCATTTGCAACAGTATTGGAACCTGTGTAAACAGTTAGTTATTGTGTACAATTTGTTAGCCATACTTACACACATACCTTTAGACCCCTCCTTTTCCTTCCTATCCTTCTGCTTTGTTGCTGACTGTGCTAAGGCTATAGCCTTCTCCTTCTCCTTCTCCTTTCCCCTCTCCTTCTCCTTCTTTGCCTTAGCCTGAGCCTCTTCCTTAACCTTGGCCCACATTGCTTTCTCAGCCTCTGCCTTCACTTTAGCCCTAGCAGTAGCTTTGTCCTCCTTTACTTTTGTGAGCTCCTCCACTGTTGCCTTACAATCTACAAGATGTTCTGTATCAGTAGACAGATTGGAAATCAGGAAATAGGAGACTTACTGCCAGATTGACTCTCTACTAGCACAGACAAAACCTTCTTGCCCTCTGAATTGTTGTCATTGTGAGTGTCATTGTCTGAGCTCTCTTCATCTTCAGACTCAGGATCTGTGGTCAATCCATCAGTTTCCTCCTTCACAACCTTATCCTCTGGTTTGTTTTCTGTGTTAGAACCTGTAGAGCACATCAGCATATGAGCTAGAGACAATGTGCTTCACAGAGGTACTCACTGAGCATACATTCGACTAGCTTGTCATCCACATCCATTCCCTTACTGGCTACTACATTGTTGTGTACACAATTTCTAAGGAAAATCACAAAATCAGTATAAAAAGAGTGGAAAAGAGTGTAACACTTACTGTTGGATTTGCTAGGGAGCAGTAATGACATGGCAAGAGTGATGGAAGGAAGCAGGAAGAATAAGCAACAATGTTCACACACACACAGAACTTACATTCAGCCTGCCAATCATTAAATCAACCATGTGACTGCAGACAGTCACAAGCAGACACACTAGGAGATGAAACGATTGGCATCACACTAAGAACTGTACATCACATACAGACAATCACAGCAATCAATTCTGAACACCCATGTGACTCATAGAAGCCTACTCTGAGAACACCCAACTATTCTGTATTGCAAGCATTTGCAAACAGAACCACAAGAGTGCACAGTTTCGGAATTGGCTTACACATGTTGTTTTCTCTATGGGATGTACAGATCACATGCTTATCATGGGCTCAGAACACAAGTTGTGTCACAGCAAGTGGCTCAGCAAACCATTATGTCATCATTGCCCAGATCAAAGTACTACAATCTTCCAATCAGATAGGACATCAGAGTAATCAAAGTGTTGATCTCAGGAGACTGCTGGAAATCTTGGAACTCTCTACACTTTGTCTGTACCAATCAGATGATAACAGTATGAGAACCTTCTATTTCTTTCAATGTAAATCTTGCTTTTCCCTTTTGCATAACATTTCCTGTGGCTAGAATACAGACTACTTAAATTTTCCTCATACATTTTCACCCTATTTTCTTCCAACCTCTGGCAAAAGGTTCTCTTATTTGTTCTTGTATATTTTGTTATTTTTCTTTTGTTCAGTCATGACACTTCCCTGTTAGTACTACACTTTTCCAGAACTTGGAAAACTATAAATACAGCTACTCATGTACTAGATACAGGGGGAATTCAGATAGTTCACCCATTGATTTAGCTCTCGTCTCTTGTCTCAAAGTCCTCTAGCATGAGGCATAGTTTTAGTCTTTGTCATTTTCCATATCAGATTGTTTGTTGTGCACTTTGCAAAGTACACTTGATAACATTGATCATAATGAACAAAATGAGCAATACACTCAAAATTAACAAAATAAATTCATATCTCATAATGAATACACACATATATTCAGTAAATAAAGCAAATATAATGATTAAAACAATATCAAATGGAATTTGACACAAAATAAGCAATAAAACGAATGAATATTATGATATATGATGAAAAATAGAACTGTAAAGTACACTACTTCATCTATCTACAAAATAAAAGCAACAAACATGTATTATAACTGTGCAGAGCAATATATTAATCAAATAAACATTATACAATGATAATAAAACATTATCACAACAATAAAACAATACAAACATACAAATAACATTATAGTTTGTAAAAGTCAAAGGACACATTAAATGATAACAAACACAATGCACACATATATTGATAATAAATATATTTACTACAAAACAGTAAAACAATACAAACATATTATATGTTTAAAACATAAATAATGTGTCTAAACAGACTTACAAACAGTCAGATGATAAAACAATACAAATAACAGAAGAATAAAACCTCAATCAACCTTAATATGAAGTGATCTGACATATCATACATGATATTACAAATTGCAAACAATACAATACTTTAATATAAAGGCATAGAACTACAATTGAATGCTTAAAAGGTATGAATACAAAACAAAACAAACAAAGATGATACATAATGAATAGAGGACATTATAATAACATTAATAACACATTTTATGAGTATGATTCAACAGTTTCATTACAAAAGTAAAAGTGGAAAAAACTACTAGTAACACAATTCAAATGTGCAAGAATACAAATTAATGTGAACGAATTAATAACACACACATTGTTATTAAATATAGTATTAACTATACAAACAAAACAATACAAACAAAGTACAATTCTAATTACACAATGAGTGTAAGAATATAAAACGAACTACACGTATAATAATATGAATACAAACAAAACAAATAACAGAACAACTGTAGAACAGTACAGTATGAAGAAATAAACATACTATGACACAAAACAAACAATATGACATGAAAAACAAACAAAACAAAGTTATAACATATCATATTAAATTGCAAACAAGAAAACTACTATCATACAAATGATAAAACATTATAGTGACAACTATAACATTAATAATATTAAAACTACAAACAAACAAATGCTAAAGAGATCCTACAGCTCTCTTAGCAATCATAATTGAATTAACAATCGATTTATTACATTGAACGTTATAATAATACATTAGACAAACACAACACTTACAGTGGACTTAATATACAAAGCAAACAAAACATTTACATTACAGATGTAAATGATATTAGTAAAACAATGAACAAATGCTTATCAAACATTATATTAGCCTGATCAACTAGTATAAGTTTGAAGGGGAGTGTTAGCATTTATTTCGGATAAATGTATCATATGTCTCAAATCACACAAACGTCTTGCAAATATACACTATTACTGAGACATGTCTTCTGAGACATACATCCAAGACATACAATATTAGATAGTATATATATTACTTCAATCTAAGGACAATGAAGCTTATGAAGAACTTATGTGCAGTCGACTTGTATTGATGCCTACACACCATGAGCAGAGCCTACTGAACCCCTACTAGTGTGAACTACTCTAAGGGAATCATTACAACCTCAAAACACTAACACAATTCAAGCAGGGAACACATTGTATTATTATTGGAAGGCAAAGGTAATACACCTTATTGACATTGGACATTGTTAGTGTCATCAATTAGGACCAGGAGACACACAATAGACTAGTACAAGTCTATTAACAAATTTGATACTACTATTAACTGTAAGGAAACTCACTGTTCCTCACAAGAGAATTCTAATCACTCTTAGTTCACTCAACTACTGACTAGGATAACCTAGTACTTGAGCAAGGGGTTAGGGGAAAAGAATCCCCTTTACCCAGCAGTCAATACTGTCTTTTATAAGGGTATACATGTGTAGATACATGAGGAGTGAAACTCCTGTGAAGTGTCTAAGAGAAGATCACAGGTGATTTGTTAAGTTTGAGGGGGAGCTAAACCACAAGTCTTAGGAGACTAGAGTGGTTCTGAACAGGTGTGAGTTCTTCTAGCACGGTTGCAACCTCAGAAGAGTAATGTGAATAACAGATTGTTTGCTTTGAAAGGATTAATGTTTTGATTGCTGTTATGTCTGTTACTTCTTTTAATTAACTTATGCAAGTGCTTCACACGTCTAGCATTGATTGCTTTAGGAATATGTGCCATTCCTTAGCTATATTACATTAATTCTTAATTATCTGTCTGAATATTACTTTGTTTGGTTGATTATTTGTTTGCTATTATGTCCCACATGCTAGGGAATAAGTATTGTAAGTTTTGCATGATGTGTGATTGTTATTTTCAATGTATTATACGTTCCATTTGAGGAAAGCATAGTTGTGTTTGATATTTCTGTATAGTTTGTTATGTACCAGAGATGCTTTTCCACTTGACATCTTTGTATGTAGCATACTTCTTCATGTTTAGGTATATGCTCTGTAATATATTCGTTTGTAATACGTTCAATTGGTGCTATGTATGGTGTGACCATTAAAGATTTCAGAGAAAATGTCTCTTGTATAAGTATTTCATTGTTGAATTCAACAGATTTGCTTCTTATTTGTTGTGATAACTTTGTAATTATGTTTTGTAGGATGTGTAAGGTTAAATAGTAATGTAGTCAATATTTCTGCATCATTTAATTGTTTGCTATGTTTTGATTTATTTGTTATGTTTTATGTTTTGTGAATATATACTGTTATTACTCCCCTTCAATTTGAGAAGGTTCACCTTGAGTAATTGGCTTTTGTGTTTAATTGGTTTGTTTGTACGTTTTCATCATTCTATTATTTGTTTGCCTAATCATTATTAGATTGATTATACATTTGCAATATATTTCTTTATATTGTTATTATACTTTGTTAGTGTTGTTCTTTCGTTTATAGTATTAATCATTTATATTATTAATATACTATCAAATGTTTGTTTGTTATGTGAGACATTATTAATATAATGTGTCTCTGTAGTGTAAGATGAAGTAATTCAGCATTTGGATATAGTATTATTGAGTACTCATTGTATTTAAAGCAACTAGTTCATCTGTCTGTATGTCTTAGACATCTGATACATTGTCTGTATCCAATATATGTCTTGTATTATGTATCCAATACATGTCTTGTTAGTTTAATAAATCAATGTGTGTTTGGGATGCTCAGACAGGTGTGTCTAGGTCCACATAGATAATACGTTCTGGTTACAAGTATTGTATCATATCTTGTTGTATAAAGCAATTGTAGTCTTCCAGACAAAACAATTCACATTTGGTATGCTCAGATGAGAGTGCTAAAGGTTTGTAGACAATTAGAATGGATTGTACATGTAGAATCAAATTGATTCAGTGTTAAATAGAGTAGTTCAATGATACTTATCAAGTTTAGTATGATTGAGTGTATCATATCATTTGTACTATAGTATATAGTACACTAAAGCATTTGTAATGACAATTGTAGTGTATATAGTCATGCATATAGCCAGTGAGGAGGAATCATAATCATTTAGATGATGATTTCGAAGAGTCACGTTTGTAGAGGGTAAGATAAAAGTGTAGTAACAATGTAGACATGAGTAGGGAGTGTAAGGCTCATAACCTGTTAGTGTTTTGAGGTTGCAATGATTCCCTTAGAGTAGTTCACACTAGTAGGGGTTCAGTAGGCTCTGCTCATAGTGTGTAGGTGTTAATACAAGTCGACTGTACATAAGTTCTTTATAAGCTTCATTGTCCTTAGATTGAAGTAATATATATGCTATCTAATATTGTATGTCTTGGATGTATGTCTCAGAAGACATGTCTCAGCAATAGTGTATATTTGCAAGACGTTTGTATGATTTGAGACATAT